AGCCCATGTAGGTCTTTGCGGATCAGGCTCAAATATGCTCAGGGACTCAGGGGTCTGCTTCACGAAGCCCATCTCCTTAGAGCCAGTCCCTGCTCATCCAGCCTTGGCCAAACCCCTCTCTGTGGTCTTCAGGACCAGAAGTGGCTGGGCTGCTCAGAGGCTGGCCTTCTCTAGAACCCTGGCCCCTCCTCACCGGAATGCTGAAGAGGCATAAAATCACACAGGAGCTTGTCTGTGCCTCACCCAATTTACAGAGAAGGAAACCGAGGACCTGAGGCTGCCACTAGCCCAGGGTCAGGTGCCCTATGTGTGCTTTGGGATGCCGTTCAGAGCCAAGGCAACTCCGGCTACAAGAGCGGGGCCTGCCAGCGCTGGACACACTCATTCATCTGTTCAGCAATTAGGTACTGAACAGCGCTGGGCACTGTTCTAGGTGCTGGAGACACAACAGGGAACAAGACAGGTAACATCCCTGTCCCCCTGGAGTTGACATGGGAGTCAAAGAGGAAACGAGATAAACAAGCTGAATGTTCAGCCAACAGGGTAATAATAAGTGTGCTACAGTATGAAAACTAAGGCAAGAGGGGGAATTGTAGGTAGCAGATGAGTCAGGAGTGGGATGGGGTCTGGTTTGTGTGGGCCTTGCAGGCCCCAGTAAGGACTTTGCCATTTTCTTTGTGTGATGGGAGCCCCAGGAGGGTTTTGAGCAGAAGAAGGATGGTGTGGGATGAGATGGGGCTGACTATGGAGCAGAGGCTGTGGAACTCGGGGGCAGAAGAAGGAAGCCCAGTCAGGATGAGTCACCCGGGTAAGAGATGACAGTGTCTCAGAGCAGGGTGGCAGCTGTGGAGGTGCTAAGAGGAAGTTCAGTTCCGGGTGTGTTTGGAAGATAGAGCCAAAGATCTATGATGACAAAGGATTTGTGAGGACACCAGCTGTGAGAGAAAGAGAGGAAGCAAGAATGACATCGGGTTTGGGCCTGAGCCGCTGGGAGCATGGTTTGCCATTTACTGATCCCAGAAGACTGTGAGAGGAGCAGGTCCAAGGGGTGAAAGTCAAGACTCTCATTTTGAACGTGTAAAGGATGAGATGCCTATTTGTTGAGTAATCAGTTGGATATACAGGTTTAGATTAGCAGAGAGGTCTGTGCTGGGAATGTAAATTTGAGACTTGCTAGCAGAAGCTGGGGTGCTGAATTAAGTCTCCAAAGGAGCGAGTGTAGAAAGAAAAGGAAAGAGGCCCCACCCAGGACTGAGCCCTGGGCACCTGCTGCCTAGAGGTCAGGACAGATGAGAAGAGGCCAGCGGATGAGTTTGAGAAGGAACAGCCAGCCAGGCGAGAGGAGGGCCAGGAGGCTGCCTAGGAGATAGGGGCCAACCTGCCAGATGCTGAAAATGAGGCAAGTACGATGCAGCCTGGGGCTTGACCGCTGGAAGCAGCAACGTGGAGCTCATCAGGGACCTGGCAAGACTCGGCCTAGCGACAGGGCATGGGCGAGGCTGGGCTGAGCGAGCCAGGCAGAGAGCGCCCCGCACTTCTGCTCATCCCTCTCTCAAAAGGAAAGTGGGTTAGGCCGGACGTGCACACTGGCCAATTGGCAATTCCAGGCATGTCCTGGAAACATCTCCACTCACCTCCCTGGAGTTCTGTCAAGACCTCAGCAGGCACTTCTGTCCCCCTGGAAGGGTTCCCAACCCGTGCTTACTATAAGGACACTCATGTGTTTGGAGGTGCAGGTTCACCCAGGGTGCTGGCAGGGCCCCCGAAGCAGAGCCCTTGCTGCTGACCCAGGGTGTTGAGGTCCCATAGGAGTAGATCTCCAAAGGCCAGATAGGTTGGCTTGGGTGTCTCCAAGGTATATGACAATAGTGAGATCCATAGGCACTTTCTGGGGCCTCTGACGTGCCAGGCGGGAGGGAGTATGCCTGCGTCACTGCCTCCTCTCCCCATTTTACAGATATGAAGGCTCAAAGGGATGAAGTACCTTGTCCATAGCCCCCATCATGAGAGATCTGGGATTTGAACCCAGATCTGGGAGTTTTCAACTAGGAAGTGCCACTGCCCATGGCCTAGGGGCTTGAGACCAATGGGAATTTGGAGCTCTTTTGGCGCTCCTGTATGTTCCAGAGAATGGGGAGGCCAGAGGCCTCACAGATCCCATCCTAATGCAGAGGTGCTGGGACTCATTGCCCAGGGCAAAGGAAGATGGCGTGGCCCGCTGCCGGCCCCTGAGCAGGCCTAGCAGAGCAGTGTGACCGTGCTCGCTGAGTCAGGGATAGGCAAGGCGGGCGTACATAAACCTAGCCCTGTGGGTTCCCTGTCCTTCTGGGGGTTTGGGCCTTTCATCTCCTCAGGCCACGGCACAGACCCTGCCCTCTGGGAGTGCACGATCCACCCAGGGTGGCAAATAAAGGAATCACTTCCCGGCCGTCCTCAGATACCATGGCAGTGGGCTCCAGGTCATAGGGGCAAGGTGGAAAGTCCTGGGGGTGGTGTTGTTTCTGGAAGGCTAGTGAGCTAGGGAGAGACCTGAACGGTGGGCTACAGGGGTCCCTGAGCAGACAGTTTCCTTGCGCCCCGTGCAGGACGTGACCACCCTGCCCAGCAGTGCCTTCGCCAAAGTCAGGTTTGGACTAGCCCTTTGCTGCTCCCTAGCCCAATGGGCCTACCCGGAAGAAAGGGAAACTGAGGCCCAGAAGGGCAACACAGGCCTGAGGCCACAGAGCTGACTCCTGGAAGTGTTTCTAGGGCTGAAGGGCAATGGCAACAGCCTAGCCTGACAGGAACCCCCATCCCCTCCCCGAGTCAGACTGCACATTCCCCCCACACACACGAAGGGCAACTGGCTCCTTCCACCACCTTGACCTCCAAAGTCCACCTCTGTGACCTCCATCGATGGCCACTGCCTCCCAAAAATAGGTCAGCGTGCACTGCAGCAGCCTGGGGAACAATGGTCCTTTCTTCACTCCTCCACAGAGCCCGGTAAGCCCCATCAGGCCAAACATCTTAATGTGATAAAAACCACCAGCACAGGCTGAGGGAAGAGGGGCGGGAGGGGGCGGGGCTCCTGGCTGGAGCACTCACATCTTCACCCATCTGTCTGGGAGCTCCAGCCCCACCGAGGACTTGCAGGGACCACAGAGCAGCTGTCCCATTGGGTGGATGGGGATGTGGAGGCCTCATGATCTGAATTTCTCCAGCCCACCATCGGTCAGACACCTGAGTGGGCACTTGGCAGTATCTCCAGGCTCATCCCATGTTCCCTAGTTCCGGCTCCTCCTCCTCTTCCTCCAGAGCAGGATGCCCCAGAGGCTGGGCTTATCCACTGCTGTTCCCCGAATCAGGCAGAGCTGATTTTTCTGGGCCTGAACGTGAGGACTGAAAAGGGAGGCCTGCGCCTACCACCACCAGGAGGGCTGGGCAGGCACCCCTGCAGCACCCCATTATAGCTTCTTCATGGTCTCTGCCCCACAGCTCCTTAATCATCCAAGCACTGGAGGCTCCCACCCCTGTCCTCAGTGTCCTCCATCCCCCTTCTTGCCCTCTGCCACTCACCCAAGACTACAGCCCCTGTTGCTCCTTGCAGAGCTCCACCCAGCCTATGTGGTGTGGTGCCAAGAGTAGCCAATGGATTTGGGGTTTTCTGCCACCTTCTAGCACAAACCTACAGTTGCCCAGGCCCAGAAAGAGAGGCCAAGGACCTCAGAGAAATAAGCTGGCACATGTATTCCTTTGAGCCACATTGGGAGAAGTCCTGCACTGTAGCCTGAGGTCCTGTGTCCAAAACAATAGTGATGCCCTATCCCCCAGCACCTGAGTCTCCAGCTCCTGGGCACAGGCTAGTGAGGTGTTCCTTTCAGACCCAGGTATGGCTTCCCGGAGGGCAATGCCTAGGATGCCCTGCCAGGCCGAACCATGTAGAGCGGTGGTACCCCTAGCGCGAAGGTACCCAGCTCCTTCCAAGGCCACCCAGCCCCCATTGGCTTCCAACCTCACTGGCTTTTGGCAAATCCCACTCCACCAGGTCCTGAGAACAGAGGCTCTGCTGCTGGGTAGAGTGAACTCAAAGGCCCTTTAGAAACTCAACAGCCCACCCAGGGCCTGAGCCCTTGTGGGAGTGTGAGTGGTGGCCCCTCTCCCCTTGGAAGCAGGCTGAGGGCATAGCTTGCCTCTGAGGGCTGGGGGACAGGAATTCTTTCGCCCTTATCTGGATGTATTTAGGGCTCCTGGGATGTGACTGGAAAACCAAGTGGGACGTTGTGGCCGTCCAGACTGGAAATCTGTGTCGGCCGGGGGTGGGGGCGGAGGGGAGCACCGTGGACAAGGAATGCATGCAGATTGGCGGCCACAGCTGTGTCCTCGTCCAGACTCGCCTGTGGGTCTGGCAGGTGGAACAGGCAGGTGGAGCTCTGCCCCGATGGATGTGTACTCTCCCCGAGACCCCTGGCAGGTGGGGGCCGTCTTGTTAAGGGGCTGAGCCCCAGGGCCCAGCAGTGTTGCCTTTTTATGCATGTAGTCTATGGATTCTGGGATTACGTTCTTTGGGCAGGCCCTAGTACAAATCACCAGTGACGTGACCTGATTCATTTGCAAGGATGATGAGACCTAGGTAACCCAGAACGCAGCTCACTCTTTGCCCTAACTGGCAGGGAGCTCAGGGCTAAGTGGGAGCTCAGAGTCTTGCTCATCCTGGGAACCTGCTCTGCAGACCATGGCTTGGCCCTCTGAGTATTTCCCACTGTTCCACCCCTAGACACTGTGAGTCAAGGTAGCACTGCCGCCCCCCAACCAATGCCCAAGACTCAGAGTCAGCCTGAGGGGCAGGACAGACCTTCCATGAGCACAGCAGATTGCACTTGCACCTGAGCTGCCCCCCACCCTGCTCCCCTTCACACTCCCCCTCCTGGCAGGCCGAGGGGAGAGTGTTGCCCCCACTTCACAGATGAGGAAATCAGTCCTTCACGTCAGGGTATTGGTGCCACTTCGGGCATTAGGCCATTTATTCCTCCATTAGTTTACTCAACAGATGCGTATTGAGCACCTACTGTGTGCTAAAGGACCGAGATGAGCTAAAGCAAGTGAGGGTGCAGACAGTACACACAAATGAAGACGCAAAGTACATCTGGATACAGCTGTGGACAAGCTGAGGGCTTCTCTTACGGTATCTCACTGAATCCTCACGATAATCCCATTGCACAGACAAGACTCGAGATGCGACCTGAGCAGGGAGAGGTCCCCAGGCCTCCTGAGCCTCAGCCGGGTTTCCCATTGTAGTCCTGGAATTAGAGCATTGACTTCTGTTTGCGACCAGCGGGCTGTCCCAAGGGGAGAGGCAGTCGTGTCCAGACCCCAGGCTGGGCCAGCAGTCTCTGCCAGCCTTCCTCTGCCCATTCGGTTCCTTGCATGATGACTGCTGACCAACCCCCAGCCCTGAAATTGCACACCAGTTCCTCTCTGTCACCCCATTGGCCCTTGCCCAAGACCTGAAACATTTTCACAGTGCCAGAAAACAAGGTCTCTTCAGCGTCTGTGTCCATAATCTGAGTCCTAGGTCTGGGAGGAGCCCAGGAAGCAGGCAGAGGGGATCCTTGATAGAGAAAAGGGAGATGGAAGATGAAGAAATAAAGCACAGGGCAGGGTCTGGGGAACCACAAGGATGTGAATTGGGATAGGAGCCCGAACTAGCATGGTCAAGGAGGGCTTCATGGAGGAGGTGCTACTTTCTGAGCTACTCTATCAATTTGGACTTTAGCCAATAGGAAAGTGGCATATGAATGTCATGGTCAAGGTCTTGCTTTAGGCAGTCAGCTCTGGCCAGCAAGTTGGAAGGACAGGTGGCTAGAAGTTAAGAAGACTAGAGGCCTCGGCCAGGGGCAAGGGGCAGAGCCTGGGCCCTGTGGGGATGCACAGGAGTCGCCACCACTCTGCCATCACTTATGTGACTGAGCCCCATCTCCTGTGGTTGCCCGCCTTGTGGGAGTAAGCGGGGGGGAGGGGTGGAGGGAGGGAGGGAACTTGGAACAGGTCCCATCTCTGGCAGGGAAGTTGGGCTGAATGGATGAGGTGCCACTCTCCATGCCAGGAACTAGGGAAGGAAGATGATGAGCCCAGAGTGGGACTGGCAGGATTTGAGGAGCCCTCTTCCTCTAGGGAGCAGCCTGGGCTCCCTTCCTCACGGCAGTATCTGGAGCCCCACAAAGAAAGCTGGTGCCTCTCCATCTCCCCCTGCAGGGAACATCATCGGCTCCGGCATCTTCATCTCCCCCAAGGGGGTCCTGGAGCACTCAGGTTCCGTGGGACTGGCCCTCTTCGTCTGGGTCCTGGGCGGGGGCATCACTGCCCTGGGCTCCCTCTGCTACGCGGAGCTGGGAGTCGCCATCCCCAAGTCTGGCGGGGACTATGCCTATGTCACCGAGATCTTCGGGAGCCTAGCTGGGTGAGTTGATGCGCCGACTCGGGGTGGGTTGCGATATCTCTCCAGGAAGGGCCAGTTGGGCCTGGACCTGGGTTTCCTCTTATTTCTCACATCACAGGGAGGTCATGGGGGTGGATGGAAGGAAGGGGGTAGGGGCATTGGGCCGCCTTCCAATGCTCACCCCAATCCAGCTGGACACTCCAGCTCGCCAACTTGACTTCTCTGTGTTTCCTTTTAAATAATTCTGTGTCTAAGCCTCATCCCATGCTCCCGGGTGGGGAGGTTCTTATCTGAAATCTTATCTGAAATCTCTAGATAATGCTAGCATCTGAGCAAGGATGGCTTTGATTTCAATAAGCCCATGTACGGGGGTAGGGGGGTCACGCTATTCCTATCAACACTCTGCAAGAGCTTGTCTTTAAATAGCTCCCCAACATGCCTTTCTTCACCAGTGAACATTAGCTGAGCACCTACTGTGTGCTGAGGGCCAGGGATGCTGTGATAAAAAGACGCGTCCCCACCCTCACATTACTCACAATGCAGAAGGGAAAGTGCCCCTCGCATGTGAGTAATATCTGGAGGATCCCAGCTTCAGGGGTGCGTGTGAGAGGCAGCAGCCCAGCAGCCAAGAGAACGAGGTGCCAACCACCTAGGGAAGGCTCCCAGGAAAAACCAGATTTGTGCCAAGGCTTGGAGAAAATCTGGCATTTTCTCTGCCATGCAGTGAGGAGGGGGAGCACGTACAGATGGTGGTAGCTTGGGCCAGCTGGTCATATCCACAATAGGCAATGGGACTTGGAGCGGGTAGGGCAGCCTGCGGGTGGAGCGGACTCAAAGCTATTGCAGTCATCTAGCCGAGCCTGCTGAGGGCCTCGACAAAGATACAGGAAGATTCTAGAATCCGTTAGGAGCCTGAATCAAGAGGATGTGGTAGCCAGTGCAGCATGTGGGAGAGGTGGGTGCAGCTGGCGTGGCACCTGCTTTCCACTGGAGAGACTCCATAGATGGCAGTTCCGGGGCTGGGGAGGAGGAGGCTCTGGGATGGGGCTTGCCACATTGGTGGGGTCTATGGCACATCTAGGGAGATGCTCGGTCAGGTTGTGTGGGGGCCCTGGAGCTCAGAGAAGAAGTCTAGGTTGAAGTACATGAAGTTTGGGTCAGGAGCCTTTAATGAGGCAGCTGTGGATGGTGCTCCGGCAAGGTGCGGGTGTATCCATGGGTGCGCTCCTCTGGCATAAGGTCTTCAAAGGGCTTAGGACCCAAGAAAGCAGAAGAAACATGCTGTGCAGCTGAGAAGATGGGAGGAAGAAGAGGGTCCAAGACCCTACCTCCTTACCCAGCCAGGAGGCACCCAGCATCAAGGGTGGGCAGAGGGGAGCACCCAGCAGGGAGGAGGGCCATGGGAGGTGGGGTACAAAGCAGGGAGTAGAAAACAGAGCTACAGAGCAAAGGTCAGAACCAAAAGGAAACCCCAGAGGTCAATGGTGTCCCTGGATGAAGCAGTCCCAACCTTGGAGGGCTGGACTGGGGGCTCAAACCACCCCCACGGAGAGGCCCTCCCCCAGGAGCAGGCTGATCCCCCAGCAACAGGTCAGGCCTCACGACCTACACGGGCACCCTGCAGAGGCGAGATATGGGCCGAAGGAACATAAATTACTCCCCAGCCTCCGCCAGGGCTCTCTGCAAGGTCCAGTCCCTCGGGATTACAGCTCGGCCGGCCGTTTGCAGTCACAGGGCTCTGCTGAGTGCAGGGGCTGGAGCTATGACCGCAGGTCCCAGGATAGCCCGCCCAGCGCAGGAGCCAGCCTGCCCGAGGGCAGCGCTTCGCTATTTAACTGTACTGAACACCAACTCTGTCAAAACCGTCCATAAATAGAGCAGAGCCTAGACAAAGGTCCGCCATGCATGCCTGGACCGAAGCTGGCCTCCAGCACCGGCGCCTGCCTTTGGGTTCCAGGGCCCACACGCCTTGGCCAGAGGGCAATGGGACACCTGTGCCACTCGGGCCCTCACTCGTTCCAGATTCTTGCTGCTCTGGAGCGCCGTCCTCATCATGTACCCCACCAGCCTGGCCGTCATCTCCATGACCTTCTCCAACTACGTACTGCAGCCCGTGTTCCCCAACTGCATCCCCCCGGCCACAGCCTCACGCGTGCTCTCCATGGCCTGCTTGCGTGAGTGCCCACCATGGGGCCGGGCTGGGCCTCTGCTCCGGGCCCCGCGTGGGAGGGCTGGGGGACGTGAATTTCTGCCAGCTCCTGAGAGGTCAGAGATTCTTGCAGTCTGATTGCTGCAGGGGATGCCGTCCTCCCGCAGCTCAGGCTGGACTTGGCTGTGGCCTACCGTGGGGTGCTCAGCCTCAGGCCCCACCCGCCTGCTCACTTTTCCTCCCCAGTGCTCCTGACGTGGGTGAACAGCTCCAGCGTGCGCTGGGCCACGCGCATCCAGGATGTCTTCACTGGCGGGAAGCTGCTAGCCCTGTCACTCATCATTGGCATGGGCTTTGTCCAGATCTTCCAAGGTAGGGCCGGGGTGGGGCTGTGTCCAGGGCTGGGGAGATGATGCTGAGCCTTGACCTCTGGGCCCCCAGGACACTTCGAGGAGCTTCGGCCCAGCAATGCCTTCGACTTCTGGATGACGCCCTCCGTGGGTCACCTGGCCCTGGCCTTCCTCCAGGGTTCCTTTGCCTTCAGTGGCTGGAACTTCCTCAACTATGTCACTGAGGAGCTGGTTGACCCTCGAAAGTGAGTGGGGCACCTGGCCAGGCCCTGGAAAGGCAGCCTTCCTGCACAGACCCACTGTCACCTGTGCCTCAGTCCGGTCATCCGCCTGACCACACCGCTACCCCACAGGAATGGCTCTGGAAAGACAGCCAGGATGCTTGTGTTCCAGCCTGGCCCTATTCTATGTGGCTGTGGGCAAGTCACAGTCCCTTGCTGGGCCTCAGAAACACTGGGTATCATTGTTCTACTGTAAATGGATCCAACTATTTGCATTCGGCCAAAAATTATACATGTGCACACAACATGGTCCCTGCAAATGAAGCCAGTGGCTCCATCTGAGCTCAGCCAGGGACTCTGAGAGTGAGCAGCTGCAGCTGGGGCTGGGGCTGATGGGGAGTCCCAGGGGCACCCTAGGTCTGTGGACTGGGCTCTCAAGGCACTTGGGACTTTTCAAGGCTGATTTTGGCTGTATGCAATTTTGTCTTTATGTGCAGACGTTAGACCCACCCCTGAGAGTATAATGTGTCCTCTCCTCCAGACGCCCTTCCTCCTACCAGCCTATGCCCAGGCTGGGGTGGGGGCGGGGGTAAACAGACAGTAATGCTGCCCCCTTCCCTGTCCCAAGGCCCCCAGCAGATGCAGGAGAAGGAGACTCAAAGCTGCTCCCGTTGCGGGGTCCCCTGGCCCTCCTCCTCCCCCCTGGGCCCCGCTCCCGGCCCCCAGAGGGCTGACACTGATACACTCCACCATCGCCCCCAGGAACCTACCTCGCGCCATCTTCATCTCCATCCCACTGGTGACTTTTGTGTACACCTTCACCAACATCGCCTACTTCACTGCCATGTCCCCGCAGGAGCTGCTGGCCTCTAACGCGGTGGCCGTGGTGAGTGCGGCCCTGCTCGACCCCCAGCCCCGCCCAGCCCCCACCCAGCCTTATGCATTGCTTCTCTTCTGTGCCCACTCAGACCTTTGGAGAGAAGCTGCTGGGCTACTTTTCTTGGGTCATGCCCGTCTCCGTGGCGCTATCCACTTTCGGAGGGATCAATGGCTACCTGTTCACCTCCTCCAGGTGACTGGACTGGGGAGAGGGGGGTCCAGGTGAGGCCAGGCAGGCACCCTGGCACGCAAGCAGTGCAGGGGGCCAGAGGAAGAGAAATCCTGCCAAGTGGGGCCTGCCTCAAGCTGGGACGATGAACTCCCCAGTACGGACGTCTGATCCCAACTCTGAGGAACAGAAAGCAAGAGGGAGATGGGCTTGACGAGGGGCAGAACTGTCCAGTGGGGCTGTTGGGGCTTGGGGGTCAGAGGCAACAGCTCAAGACGCACATCAGGTCTAGAGCTGAGGTCCGTGATCTGGCTGTGGGGAGGCCCAAGGCCCCACTCGCAGCCCCCACCGACCTCTGTCCTCACCCTGCAGGCTGTGCTTCTCCGGAGCCCGAGAAGGGCACCTGCCCAGCCTGTTGGCCATGATCCATGTCAGACGCTGCACTCCTATCCCTGCCCTCCTTGTCTGTGTAAGTTGGGGGACCCTGGCTGGCAGGGTGGGGAGCTGAGCTACCCAGCAATGTGGGTAATGGCAGGGACGAGCCCTGGTCCTGGAGGGCCGCCCACAGTGGGAGTGGGCAGGGCCAGGGCTCAGCAACCTCCCGGCCTGAGCCGGCAGGGCTGACCGGAGGCAGGTGGAAGGCCAGCCCTCAGCCCAGTCCTCTCCCAGTGCGGGGCCACGGCGGTCATCATGCTTGTGGGAGACACGTACACACTCATCAACTACGTGTCCTTCATCAACTACCTCTGCTATGGCATCACCATCCTGGGCCTGCTCGTGCTGCGCTGGAGGCGGCCGGCACTCCACAGGCCCATCAAGGTGAGGCCTGGGGGAGGACGTCCCGGAAACTGTCAGACCTTCACCCATTTGGGCACCAGGGGAGGTGACGACAGCAATGGGGATCCCAGCTTTTGCCATGTGCTGGGCCTACTCAGGGCTCTGCGTGCACTGACCTAGTCGGCCCTCATAACAACCCCTGAGGTGGGCGCTTCGAATACTCAGTTTACAAACAGGAAAAAGACTAAGATACTTGCTCACGAGTTGCACAGAATTCCACGAGCCTACACAAAAACAGAAGACCCCAAACCAAGCTACAAGTCTTCCCATTTGCATATAAATCCTTGAGCTGGAGAAGTGTCCAGTGCCTGAAATGCGACACACCAAAAAATAACTGACCTTCAGCTAGGTGTCAGCCACGGGCCCACATGCAGTCGCCGTGTGGTGCTTAGAGCTGCTAACACTGACAAATCCTCAACCATCTGGCCACGAATGGGATTCTCGCACGTTGGGCTTCTGCTCCCGGGCAAGGGTGGAAGGCGTGGCCCCCAGGGCAGTGGGGCAGGAGAGCCCAGGGTCCTGAGCCACTGGTGCTCCGCTCATTCTCCCAGGTGAACCTCCTCGTCCCCGCCACATACTTGGTCTTCTGGGCGTTCTTGCTCGTCTTCAGCTTCATCTCGGAGCCCATGGTGTGTGGGGTTGGTGTCATCATCATTCTCACCGGGGTGCCCATCTTCTTCCTGGGAGTGTTCTGGAGAAGCAAACCAAAGTGTGTGCACAGACTCACCGGTGAGCCAGGCAGCCCCCCACCTGCCCCCAGGTGCCGAGGCCGAGGACGGGACCCTCTTGGGCACTCACCCTAGAGCAGGGTCTCCCAGCAGCAGTGCTGGCAACACAGGGCCCAACCACCACCCACTGTCTTCCCACGATCTGGCCCAAGTGTCTGGGACCCACCTCAGAGGGAACAGCTCCCCAAGGACCCCTGTCCATAGAGTCAGAACCCCAGGTCCATCTGTCTGTCTGTCTGTCCTTAGAGTCAATGACACGCTGGGGCCAGGAGCTGTGTTTCGTGGTCTACCCCCAGGATGCCCCCGAGGAGGAGGAAAATGGCCCCTGCCAGCCCTCCCCACTGCCCGCCACAGACAAGCCCTTGAAGACACAATGAGACATTCGTGGAGCCTGAAGCAGCTATTTCTGTTTACATGTTGTTTATTGAGGAGGTGTTTTGCAAAAAAAAAAAAAAAAGTCGGTTGTTTTTTTTCTTGGAAAAAGAGATCCCATTCTTAGAGGCCTGTGATAAGGACGCCCTAAGATGTGGACTGGGTTCCCTGCCAGCACTGCCCTTCCAGCTTTTCCTGAAAAGATCTATGAGTAAAACAGGGCTTGCGGTGCACTTGTCTCAGGTGAGACCCAGGGGGCATAACTTGGGGGCACCCGTGGAGCTAGTGGGGGAAGGTGCCCGATAGCCTCTGGAGAACGCCCTTGGCACTGAGGATTCTGCCGCTTGAGCTAGGCACTCCCGCTCTGGGGCTGGCACGTTGGGTCCAGAGCCACTCCTACCCCAAAGGGACATTGAAGATAGAGAAGTGGTTGGTGTGCCCCTCCCCAGGCATAGGAATGCCAGCCCAAGGCTCAGCTCCCCACCAAACCCCCAACCCCAGAAAGTCCAGAGATTCCCTCCAGAACTGTCTTTCTTCCCAAAAATCCCCATAAAATGTCAGGACTTCAGAGCCCACAGCCCCTAGTTTACAGATAGGGAAACTGAGGCTCTGAGACAGGATAGGATGGATTTGGCCACTGTCAGTTTGTGCCTGGGCCTCTGTCCCCTGAGAAAGCACTGAGCAGATTCTCCCAGGGTCTCAGGGCCTGCAAGAGGCCCATGGGCTTCCTCTACCTTGTGCCCACAATCTCAGCCCGTCCTAGTGCCCAGGATATTGACCCCCTCAGCTAAAAGGCAAAGAGCAAATGTCATCAGCCTGGCCAGGGCCATGCTGACACCACAGGCATAAGGATGAGGGCAGAAGCCTCCTAGCCCAGTTCCTCTGGGGCCTGCTGGGAAGATGGAGGAGAGCTCAGTGTAGACAGAGAGCTGGCCATGGACTAGGTCCAACGTGCCCACGGCCCTGCTCAGTCCGGGCACAGCTCTGGCACCCGTCAGGGTGAGCGAAGTGAGAAGCCACAGACAACACCCCCAGAGAGCCCTGCCCTGGCCCTCCTGTTTCTCTGGAAATGGGTTCCCAGAATGGAGAGGGGGAGATTGAGGTGAGACCTTCGGTGCCTGTGTGGATATCAGGGCCCCGCAGAGGCGCTCATCACTCCACTCTCCTCCCCTGCTGAGGCCCTCCACGGCCCCGCCCACCTCACCCACCGGGGTGGGAGATGCTGACTCAGCAAGCTGGCTGGGCTTGAGGGGGGCTCTCTGTAAGAAAGAAGTACACGGAGGCAGGGTAGAAACGACTGTGTATTCCCTGGTTACAAAGCGGGGCTGTGGCAGTCACCAGTGCATCCGGTGGGTCAGCAGACCAGCAGGGCCTCGTCGTCACTGGCCTCCAACGTTGGGGAGCAGGGGGCCTGGGGGCTCCTGCAGACACCCAGTGGCTCTGCTGGGTGGGAACCTAGGGTGCTGCTGGCAGTGGGAGCTGGGGGGTGAGCATCTGGGGCCAAGCAGGGCTCCCAAGGCGTGTTCACAGGGGCTAGGCTATCCACCAGAGGGTCCCTGCAGGCCTTTCTGTCCTTGTCCACAGGCCTGCACTCCGGGTCCCGCAGGCCTGAGGGGGGCGGCACAGAGGGCCCCACCTCTGGCACATGGCCAGGAGCACTGGGGGGCACATCTCCAGCTGCCCCAGAGCTGCCTGTGTCTGTAAGGGGTGCCTGGGGGTCTGGAGCGGCCCCTGGTGCAGGCTGGAGGAGCCCATCGCCCAGCACTGTCTGTGAGGTGCGGGTAGCAGTCAGCAGTGGGATCTGTCCCCGTGGAGCCCGAGGCCGGTGAAAGAGCCGGTTCCAGAGGCGGCCGAGGCGGCGGCGGGAGGGCCCTCGGCGGGAGGCGTGCCGGCGCATCTGTCGCCGCATGGCCGTTCGAAGGTTCTGTAGCACAGAGGCCTGGAGGATGGGGCAGCGGCTGAGGGGGCAGAGGTCAGCGCGACCCCCAAAGGACTCAAGACCCCAAGAGACCAACTTCTCCCCTTCATCTAGCTGTGGCCCACCCCACCCCTCGCCCCCCGTCTCAACCTGCCCAGGCCTCACCTCCTGCCTCCCCTGACCCCTGGACCAGCCTGGCCGCATGCTGTCCAGCCTGCCCCTCAAGCTCCCCATCTCAGGCATTCTCGGAGGTCCAGCCGGGAGCCCGGGGCCTGTGGGGTCGCATGCTCTCTGGCGCTCACCTGGGATGCACTGTAGACGGGAAAGTCCTCCACAGGTGGGATGAGGCCCTGTGCTATGAGCTGCCCGTAGGATGGGGGTGCCTCCCGCCGCACAAACTCAGCCTCTAGGCGTGTCATCTGGGTCTCGAAGGCCCTGAAAGCAATGAGCAGAAGGGCAGCATGGCAGGCCTCGCCAGGAGCCCACACTCCCTGCCTCCCACAGGGCCCCATGTAGGGGCTCACGGCAGGGCGTGGGGCCCCAGCGCTCCCTCCAGGCATTCTAAGATGCCTGGACCCTGGTATCCACAAGAGAAGTCCCGTGTGGGTGGCCTGAGCCCCAATTTACAAACCCACCGCTGTGGGAACAGTGAGCCCGAGGCCCCTCTCAGGGAACTGAAGAAACCGAGGCTCCCGGCCTGCGGCCCCAGGCGCCCTGCAGCAGTGAGGCGCCGCCCACCCACCTGTACTCCTGCGAGCGCAGCGAGTAGAGCTTAAAGGCGCAGCCCAAGGCGATGACCAGCAGCAGGCCGCAGACCAGGCTGCCGATGAGGGCGGCCGTGATGACCTTTCGGGGCACGGCGGCGAGGCAGCCGTGCTCGTCGCTGCCATCCTGGCAGTCCTCCTGGCCGTCACAGCGCCACGTCTCGAAGATGCACAGGTTGGTGCCACAGTGGAAAGTGCCAGGCTGGCAGGAGAAACAGTTCTTCTCGTCGGCGCCATCTGGGCAGCTTTTCTGGTTGTTGCAGCGGTCGGCGGACGTGTAGCACAGGCCGCTGCCACCCTCGCAGGGGTACTGGTCAGGTGGGCAGGCAGGGCAGCCCTGCTCGTCTCGGCCGCTGGCACAGTGCCACCAGCCGTCACAGCGCTGTGGCTCCGAGAAGCAGCCCTGCTCGCCCACGTCACTCATGTCACCCTCACTGCTGCTCCCACATGGCTGCTCCCACGGGAGGCAGTAGCCCTTCACCTGGTAGGTGGCGTTGAAGCCGTGGCCGGCGCTGCGGGCACGGGCATGGTAGGCCACAGTGAGGCGGCCCTGGGCGGCCTCGAGGCTCACGGGCCGGTGGTTGCTGCGGTAGGACAGAGTCTGCAGCAGGCGGTCCCCACGCTCGCCCAGGCCCTCGTACACCTGCACATAGTCGTCATAACCCAGCCGCAGCTCCAGCTGCAGCAGCACACGTCGCGGGTCCTGTGTGTCCACCAGCCACGTGCAGTGAAGGTCCGAGGGTCCGCGGGCTGCGCCAAACAGGTCTGGGGACGCGAAGGAGCCGTAGAAGTTGCCCAGCCGCCGGCCACACGCCAGGTCGGGACAGCCGGCCTCGTCGGAGCCGTCGCCGCAGTCCTGCGTGCCATCGCAGCGGCGCTCCGCCGGCAGGCAGCGCGTGGACCGCGCCCCGCTGCAAGGGAAGGTGCCCCCAGGGCACAGGCTGCCCGGCGGCTCGGAGGCAGGTGCTGAGCAGTTGCCCTCATCGGAGCCATCGCCACACTCATCCACGGTGTTGCACTGCCACGGGCCCGGCAGGCACTTGCCGTTGTCACAGCGGAACTCATCCGACTGGCAGGACGCCTGGCCCAGCTTCCCTGCGGGGCGAAGAGCACAGGCGGAGACAGTCAGGAGCGAGCAGAGCCTCCCCCAGCGCAGGCCCTGGGACCCGGAGTGGGCAGGGTGGTCCCCATCCCTGGGGGCCTTCGCAGGGCCCAGGATAATGCAAGGCCCCTGGCCATGATATGGCCACCTGACGGACAGAGACTTCTGGAATGCCAGGTCAGGCTCAGTCCCTGACCTGAGATGGGGTTAAGGGGTGAGCCCCCACTTTAGCCAAGTCTGTGAAGTGGGGTCGGTGACCTCAAGGGGCTCCAAGGCACCCTGAGGCAGCGACGTGAGCAGTCCTGATCCCACCACTGATGGGGCTGCTGGGGGTGACTGTAGGGGGTGGGCCAGTGGCGGGTCCTGCTCTGACCCTGGGAGCTCACACGGTGCCCCACAGCCCCTGCTGCCAGTGTCACCTCGGATGTAGGAGAGACGGAAGCCCTGGGCCTGGCCAGAGCTAGAGGCGTCTGAATGGAAGAAGATCCAGACGTGGTCCCGGGCGGAGATGAAGGCGGGCGGGATGGCAGAGCCGCAGAGCCGGAAGGCTTCCTGGCGGGGCGGGGCCGCTGGGCCCAGCATGAGCCAGTCCAGGGAGCACTGGTGGGACTCCTCCACATCGAAGTTGCGGAAGCTGCGGGGGTAGAGAGCACTGTAGGAAGGGCCCACGTGGCTGAGGACCAGCAGCGAATGGTCAGGCCTGAGCTTAGGGAAAGGATGGCCGGCCCCATCCCACCCCTCCCCTCCTCTACTCCTAGCCTCCCAAGGGTCTAAGGGTGGTTCCATGACAACTGTGGACAGCATCCTTCACATCAGCTCCCTGCAGCTCTGGGAAGGCCTTGTCGCCTGCCTTTCCACCCTTTCGTCAACACGCACGCAGCACCCCACACCAAAGCCAAAGTCAGGAGCCCCACTGTGGGCAACTCCGCCCCTGACGCTCTCTCCTGAGGGGGTAGGCCCAAGCGTCCAGGTCTCACCCCATGCTGGGTCTACTGGGACAGACCCTTCACAAACTCAAAGGCCCGTGCACAGGGAGCAGGAGGACATTGCCACGGGGCTGGCCTAGGCTAGGGCTGAGTGACAGTTTGTCACCTAGGGAAAAACACTGGCCCTGGACCCCCAGGCTGGGGGATGAGCAGCCCACAGGACCTGGAGTCTTTGGAGGGTGGAGTCTTTGAAGAGAGGGTGCCTGAGAGCCACGGCCCTGTGGCCAAGGAGAAACAGGCACAGAAACCAGGACAGACCCCGACTGCCTATCACATCCCATGCTGTGGAGCTTTGGAGTAACTGGGGGGCCCTTCTGGGCACTGGCATTTAGGAAAGTGACTCCCCAGCCAAATATCTCCATAGCCACCCCAGGCCAGCGATTCCACCATCTGGTCACCTCACCCCATTTCCTTCTGCACGTCCCTGCAGTTCGGGTACCCGCGCTCCTGCCTGGTTCCCTCTCCTGCTGAGACTTCCCCAAGGCCCCTGGGGAAACCCTGCTCTGGGATCCGTGCTAGCCTGGCCTTAAACCACCCCTGCAGGACAGAGAAGACACCTTTGCCACCTCAGAGACTGCTGGACCATGCCCACCAGCCTCCAGGGCTCCCTCCCTGACAGGTCTGAGGCGACTGACAGCCCCCACAGGCCCTGAGAGAGGCTCAGGGCAGGACCAGGCCCAGCTCCATGCAGCCAGCCACAGAGGCCCAGAGACCCGGGGAGCAGAGCAAACTCACATGCTCACACATGCTCACATGCACTCATACGCTTACAGCTCACACATGTTCACACGTAGACTCACACGTCATGCATTCACACATACATGTGTTCACACATGTGCCCTCTGAACTTGCTCAGGTATGTGATCATGCACGTGCATGTACTCACTCACACTCATGTGTCCTTTATAACTGCTCAGATGTGAGTGCATGTATATACACAAGCACACATATGCTTGCACACATATACACTTACACATCTGCTCATGTGTGTGCTTTCCACACCTGTTCACACATGTGCTTGCATATATACATACGCACACATGCACTCGTGTACATGCACCATCACACATGTGCACTCACACATACACACTCAGCACATGCAGACCCACATAGATTCCGTCTGACACCCCCCCAGAACCCACATACCTGATGGTGATCATGTCCCCACGGTCACCTTGGATGTACCAGCTGCAGTTGGTGCCCGGTGGATAGTTGAGGGGCCAGGCTGGGCTGTAGATGACACCACGCCGTTCTGTGTGCTGTTCCAGTTTCCCGCTGCAGGCAGCTGTCAAGAGAGGAGGCTGAAAAGTGCTGGCCTCACCTTTGGGTAGGAAGCAGCGGGAAGGGGCACTTGAGCCCCACATGGATTGAACACAGACCTTCCCAAGGTGAGATCAAGGCCAGCCAAGGGTGGCCATGGCCAAGGGCGAGGCCACAGCTCAAGACTTCACAGAAGTAGTGTGTATGACAGGGCCAAGGAGGACCCATATGGACTTAGGGCAGCCACAGTCCCCAACCCTGTCCTATGCAGCAGATCCTAGGTCCTATCCTCCACCCCTGGCAGAGCTGGGAGTGAGTCCACTAACAACACCCCTTGGCACCTAAAAGGTGTTAGCCTCTTGGCCTTGGGGCCTCAGTGCAGTGGAGAATTCTGTACCGCTAGAACTGTTGGCCCTGCACAGGCTGTCCTGCTATGGCTCCCTGCCTGCCCTCCCCAGGGCTCGACAAATACAGGCCTAAGCCCAGGAGGCGGGGAGCTTTGCTCACCCAACACAGATTTACTGAGTACCTACCATGTGCCAAGCACGGTGCTAAGCATGCTAAGTAATACAGGAAAACACCCTGCTCTGCAGAACTCAGGCCAACTTTATGCAGATGCCCTGAGTGGAATGAGGATAATAAAACAGGCCTAAAGGGAGGGGCCGATGTCCAGATGGCGCTGGAAACGCAGGCTGGGTCTCACCATACTTTGTGCAAAATTTGGAATTTTTTTCCCCTGAGCCTAAGTCGGAAGCCACTAGAGGTAGCTGTTGTAACCAGATGAGGAAACTGAGGCACACAGAAGCTAGGTCTCCAGCCCACGGCCACAAAGCCAGTAAGTCCAGAGTCAGGATCTACCCCGGGTCCCTGGTGGGCTCCGCTCTCACTGCCAGCCCTGAACCAACGCACTTATAAAGTGTCGACTGTACGCTGCTGGGGACCAGTGCAGAGCATCCCGCCAGCCAGTGTGCGTGAGGAGCCACCATGCCAGCCCCAGGGGTTCGCTGTACCCGCTTCGTCATACATGCCCTCTGCTTCCTGGCCGAAAGTGCAAAGCCTGCCTTGGTGTGCCCTGGCCCCTCCGGAACGAGGCAAGGCCCTGCACTTAGCAGCCCCCACCCCCATAGCCCCTTCAGCCCTCACCACTCCGCTTCACCCCCTCCTCCCAACAGCCTGTGGTGACGGCGGGGCCCCATTATACAGACAGAAAACCCGAGGCTCAGGGAGACAAATGACCCTTTTCCTGTGCCGGGTAACATCACCTCCTCACTTTCCCACTGCCTGGCACCCTCCACTGTTGCCCTGGAAACGGGAGTCTCTGCTGGCTCTCAATGGACTCTTCAGGACCCCAAACAGCACAACTGCACAAAGGAGAGTAAAAACTCTCCAGCCAGCTCTCATGTTCTTAGGACAAAATTCATCATAGTGACACCAGCCTGCCCCGCTTCTGTCTCATCTCCCCCCATAACCTGTCTTGGCCCCCACACCTCCTGTGGTCCCTCCTAGGGCAGGAAGACTTGTCCTGCAGGATCCTAACAAAACGCCATCCCCATTTCTCTCAGCCCATCAACTCCTATTGGCTTCTGATCTCAGCCAAGTGGCTCTATCCCCAGGGGGCCTGTGCTGCCCCCACTGGGGCTCCGGTCCTCCCTGCCTGCCTCTCTTTCCTTCCCAGCCTTTGCTAGAGCAGCAATTTCCCTTTGGGCTGTGCTGGCTCTGGCTCCACAGTGTGTCCCCAGGATCCTACACAGGGCCTGACACACAGTAGGTGCTCAATAAATACAGATCAATGAGTGAAATGGCAGTCCAAGTGCCTACTTGGCATTTAGAAGCATGAGCTGTGGGGTGAAACCCCTCCCACTGGGGCATGCCGTGACTGGGGGTCGGGTAATCCAACACTGTGACTAACAGGAAGCCGAAAACCCTCACCCACAGTTCACAAGAGATTCAAAGGCCTAGAAGAGAAACACCACCACTCGACATTAAAGCAAGGCTGACCACCCTCGGTTTGCCACCAGAGCCTCAGCAGTCCCAGGTCAGAGAGGTACCAGCCAGGCCTCTCCACATGGCACTCACTCGCGACCTGGGAGGCCAGCCTCCTGATGCATTTTGCTCACAGGCCTGGAGGGGAATACTGCTCCCTCCGGAACTTATGTCTGGTGCTCTAAACTAAACAAACCAAATGGCCTCCAGAAGCCGTTCCTCCTGACAGGTGAGGCCACCAGCTTTGCAGACCTCACCGAGAATCCTGGGTACTGGCCTGCACACATCCTGGGAGGTGTGGGGTTATGCAAACCAGAAGAGGCTTCTCCAGAGGGCGAGAGGGAGGTCCGCAGGCAGGGAGGACCTAGGGCGCATCTTCCCCCAACGTGGAGTCACTAAAGCGCATGTTAAACCAAAGACCCCGGCCTCTAAGGAAGGGAGCTCCATCAGTCAGGCTGGGAGCCAGCTCTCGTTCCCCTGAATCCTGTTCCCAGGACAAGGCCTGAGACAGAGCAGGGCCCGGTCGATACCTGCCACAGCCCGGAGGCCTCCCCTGGGGACGGGGCGCTCACAGTTAGTCTCTCACCCACATGGGCTGGGAAAGTCAAGCTCGCAGGTCTCCTGCAGGCGTCACCTACTACCTTTCTCTCTTCTGCCCCTGCCTTGGCCCGAATACTGCTCCCTCCGGAACTTATGTCTGGTGCTCTTTCTGGGGTCAGAAGGCCTGTCCCAGAAATGCCCACATCCAGGTCAGCAATGTCATTTGGTTATTGTTTGCTCTTCTCCAAAGCGGGCCACAGCCACCTGCCAGGCTCATGAAGAGTGAATGTGGAACAGGAGAAAGGCAGGGTCAGTGCGAGGAGCTGGGAGCTCCGGTCAGGGCCCCTTGACTGGACGCCTCTTGGCTGTGGGTGCTCCCAGCTCAGACAACCAGCCCCAGGCCTCTGTGATAGCAGGCCTCACTCCCACCCGACACAACACCCCAGGACCCAGGCACAGGTGGGAGAAAGGGGCTCGTGAACTCAGTGCTGGGGCCCACAGTGCCAGATACACCATTCCCCCCCTAGGCCTCAGCTTATCCATCGGTAAAATGGAGCCAGTGGGTGCTGCTTCTCTGAGGATGGTTGAGAAATTGCATGAAAGAGGCAGTCTCTACAGACATTCATGTGATGGGGTGAGTGAGGCTACACTCCAAGGGAGGTGAGGGCTGTGACAGGGCGTGTGATGATGAGCTAGCAGTGAGGGGAGCTGGGAGAACTGTGTGTTTGGGAAGATACTGACACAGGGTAGGGGGTCTTGGGGGTATCCGGGGTGTAGTCAGAGAGTGCTAGCTGTTCACCTGGGCAGAAGATTGCCTCGGCCCTCGGGCTAAGGTGGTCTGCTCAAGTGGGCGAGGGATGACTGCGCACTTTTAGACCAGTGAGCATCTTCATTTCCTGCTCCGAAGAGTCATCGAGTACTCCTGAGAGGGCATGAGCCGCATGTAGAACAATTTGCAGATCCGGTTTCTAGAGGCAATCAATACTCCAGACAACCTGCCTGGTGTCGGCGGATGGCAGGGAACTGAAAGCCCCACCGCAGGCACTCAGGGAAGCTGCCAGGAGAACAGATCTCCCCAGGGTACCCCTGGGGTCACAGTGGCCGCGTGGAGGAGCCCAGAGTCCAAGGTGCAGGAGGTATTAGTCAGTGCCTGACAACCTGGGGTGAGACAGGGGCTGAGGGACAAAAACCCATGAGGTCCCCAGGGCCAGGGAACAGTTGTGATCCAGCCTCCTCGCAGGAGTCACAGGGGAAACCTAGAAAATGTAGAATTGTGAGGCCTTGGGCCCGGGGGTGGTGGGACACCTCAGGCAGCCGGAGGCTGTCTCTCTGCAATGCTAGAGGGGTCGGAACTAGACTCTGAAAGAGCTAGGGCCCAGACCGCCACCTGTGGACACAGAGACTGTACTTGCAGCTCACGACACTGGGGGCTCCAGGCACAGGCACCATGATGTGAACTTCAGCCCCTGGAGTTGGGCCACATGGACCCTGCTGGGGCCTGAGGTCTCAATAGGTAAGAACAACCAAACAAGTGGACTAGGGTAGCTGTCTTTATCTCCCTGGCTTTATGAGTGAACCTCGTCCCTGGAGTACGAGTCTTCTAAACCTGGGCACATGCATGTGGCAGACTAGTTTGGGGTGACATGCCCACCCACCACATCAGCAGGAGGGCTGGCCTGGGACTCACATTTGTAAGACCTTACACCTTCCTCTCCCTCACAGTCTTCTCTCGGAAACTGTATTGAGAGACTGGCAGCTAGCTGTGGGGGCCAGCATGCCAGGCAGGGCTGGGGCTGGCTCAGTGATGAGCAAGGCAGGGCCCTAGGCCAGCGGAGTCAGCAGAGGAGGCCAGGCTGCAGGGAGCCAGAGCTGGTGTGCGAGGAGAATCGGAAGGGAACCTGAGAGGCCGCATTTGAGACACGGGCCTGCGAGAGTAGCTTCTGTGGACCCTGTGGCCTCCCCATCCCAGTGACCTTGGCTAGCAGAGATCCTGCTCCCTGAGTCGGCCTACAAGCTGGGCTCTGAGCAGAACTAGAAATCCCAGGTACCTCCTGCCCCTCCATGCAGCACAGCAGACAGCAAACAAATCGGCGGCCCCCCGGACTAGGGACCACATATTCTCCCAGACTCCTGAGGTCCCCCTTAGTATATGGTCTGCTGGTAGCACCAAGTGCCACGAGGCTCTGGACTTATGCATTTGCCAACCCCCGGCAGTCCCCTCGGCAAAGAGCAAATTCCCCTGATGGCCCAGGCCACCCCTCCCGCTCTTGACAATCTTTGCTGCACTCGGTACTAGGCCCGAGTTCGAAGATGGCCAGTGGATGCACGGACCTACCCTGACAGGCAGAAGGCAGGGACAGAATTCCAACTGTGTTTTCTTAGATTCCGTATGTCTATTTGACATCCACTAATCACAGGGCCAAACTATGAGCCAAAGTGTTTCCAGCATGCCAACTTGCCTAGAAGGTGCCTTTCCCCAGGTTGGCTGATCCAAGGCTGAGCCCCAACTCACCATCTTACATAACTCACACACCAAACCAACACTTCTCCTGCCCTCGGTCATCCCTGGGACGAAAGTATTCAACCTAGCCCATCCCGAACTGTTTCCCTTGCCCTGCCTTGCCTTTCCCACAGAAACTCCAGTTGAGGCTCTGGCCCAGGCCTGACCAAGCTAGTAATTTCCCCCTCAAGACATCTAAGTAACAAATTCTTCTGTCAATGGTGTTGGCCTCATCACTCAGGCATACCTTTATAAATTAAATCCCAGATAGGCATTTTAAATTTTAAAGCAGGTGAACATCTCATGGCATCTTGTGGCCCTTGGGGAACCCTACGGCCTATAGGAAATACGATCTGTCCATTGTACCAGGCCTGCGACAGTTTGCTAGTGGTATTAAGCCACCATGTGTCAACACCATGTGCTCAGTGCCTTGCCTCATTTACGCATTCAACCCTAATAAATAAAGTAGGTCCTGTTATTGCACCCCTCTTATGGAGAGGAAACTGAGACTCAGAGGTTTAAGCTTGCCCAAGGCCAAACAGCTCCTATGAGACGGACAAGGACTGACCTCAGGGGTAGAGCCAGGACCCCGAGGCCTGTCCTCAGACATCACTAAACCAGAAGACAGGGAAGAGCAGAGGAAGGAGAGAAGCATCTCACTCACCTAAAGCAGGAACTGCACTGCTGAGCCGGCCGCTGAGAACGATGTTCACTGTGGGAAACACAAAGAATGTCCAGTGGAGGGCAGTAGCTCTTGTGACCCCGGCACCTGCCTGGGGCCAGCAGCAGCCCTTGTGGGGGCACAAGACAACACAGTCTGAACTCAAGGCTGGTTCTCTTCCTCTCATAGGACAAAGCCCAGAGTGCTGCCACGGAAACTCCTGCTTCCAGCCTGGGCCCGCTGGGACCTCAGAGGGTCCCAGAACCCACCTGTACACCCACAGTGGAAGAGAGTAGTGTGTAAGCCTGGCTGCACCAGACCGCTCCTGCTGCTCCCCACACCCGGGAATTCTTATTCACTTGGGAGGGGGTGTGTTTCTGTCTCCTATTGGGCTTGGGAACCTTGGTCCTGGACCACTGTCACAGAGAGGCACTGGCTCAGCACAGGCAAAGGCCTTGCCTTCAAGGGGGTTCCTGCCACCGTGAAGGGCTGCCTCCCTTTAAGGGGCTTTGCCAGACACCTTATCCACTGGCAGCCAGGGAGGGAGGGAGACAGTTCTGATTACCCCATTTTACAAGGATGCAGAGTTAGCAGAGTTCAGGGCTGTCTTCACGGTGCTATGCTGACCTTGAGAACGGAGGCCAAGAACTCTCCTGCCATCCCTCCCCTCGAGTACCCATCTCCTGGGGTTTGCCCTTTGCTTTCACTTGTACTGCTTTCCAGCAGCGGGACCAGGAGGAGGATACAGACAAACCCAACATGGGGATGGGGGATCAGGGTGGCCCCTCCTCCCAACATCAAGTGTACCAAGGAAGGCTGAGGGCGTCTCTGTGGGGGTTAGCCCCCACCTGGTGAGGAAGTAGGGGCAGCTGTCCCCACTCAGAATACCCAGGCTCCCAGCCACATCTGAGCAAGAAGGGCCAAAGGGCTTGTCCCTCTGTCCTACTCACCTGGGAAGCCCACCCAGCAGCTGAGTCCAGAACCCGTGACCACCAACAGACTGAGGAATGAGCACTCTGGGGGTCACAGCCCTTATTGAGACCAGCTCAGAGAGGGAGGCAGGAGCCTTCCACCCCAGACGCAGCTTAAAATCTTCAACTTTCTTTTTTATTTTGTAATTTCAGTGGCTTCGGCAAACCTAAAGGGTTACAGTGCCTTCCTAGGTGACACCACAGGGTGGCCCCTAATGACCTCAGGCTCAGATAATGGTCTCCCTCATTTATCATGGTAAATAAAGGAGCCATGTGCTTTTAGGATTTAACTCCTTCCTTCTCTCCCTCACACGGAGCCCCGGAAGGGTGGACAGAAAGACTCCTGGGTCGGACAAGAGCCCTTCCCACCCAGGTGCCAGGCCTGGACAGGCCCCTCGGTCCTCCCCAAACACACCACTCTGGGCTAAACAGGCCAGCTCCAGGGTCTGAGAAGACACAAAGGAGAGAAAGGAGTATTCTCCAAGTTGTGTCCTGCCCGGAATCCTGAGTCCCGTCTCCATCCAGCACCCGCCCCCACCCCAATTCCGGCAGGAAACAACTTGTTCGGGGGGCAGCCGGCCCCGCCTTTGTCCGCAGCTCTGGAGGTCCCCATCGCCAATCGCCACCAGGCCAAGCGCGAGCGGCCCTGGCGAGGAGAAAAGCCGCTGCCTACGCACCCGGCCGCCTGCACACACGCGCCGCCCCGCGCACGGCTCACGCGCGCTCGCAGCCGCTGTTCCCAGGGGCGGGAGCGGGGACTCCGCGGCCGGAGTCGCCCACCCAGGCCTAAGACCACAACAGGCCAGAGCTCTCGCGGTGCCGGCTCCGGAAGCCCGGGCCGCAGAG